GCAAATAATCTTCTGCATTTGCATGTTTTGATGGCTGTCTATAGGTTACTATCTCGCCCTCACCCTTCTGCAACACCTCAATGTTATGATGAAAATTTCCCTTCCTACGAAGTTGCTCAAATGTTTGGCGACACTTCTTTGATGTTGATGGAAGACACATTGCTAGGGTCACTTCTGTTTCACTGCTGTGTTTCCGCTTCAGATGCCGTGCCATTTTACTTTGTGGTTTTTTGCAGTATACACAGTAATGATGCTTGTCCCACTTTCTTTTTTGACCCTTGTAGCAGGTTTTCACTGTAGCCACTGTCCTACCCTCATCCTCATTGTCGCCGCTGTCATCAGGATTCCCATCATTGCTGTTTGTGTTGCAGGGGTCTTCTTCAGATGATGGGATATACAGTATTTACTTTCCAGGTCAGGAATGGATTCTGACAGAGAATCATCTGTGGCACAGTCCTCCTGAAAGAACAAGCAGATTAGAATAGTAGTTATTCAAATAATGAACCTATAAAGTTTTGCAGTTGGGCTGCACTACTGTAGCTCACAACAAAATAAAAAGCATATCTACATACCCATTCCTCTTGTGCCTTCTTTTTTCTGTTCATCTGTAAAATTCAGAGTAAATTTGAAACATATGAAAAACCGTTACAAATAAAGCATACATCAGCTTTATTTTCCTGCATAAAGTTGGCATATCTTCAAAGACAATTTAAAGTGCTTTAACTTGTGAGCCTCTATTTAAAGAAATAACTCAAAGCAAACATTAGCTTAATAGCTTCACAAATACTAACACTGGAGAATGAGCCAGAGGACTAAACCAGAATTTAGTTTCAAACCAAAACAACTAACTAGTTTCATAAATCTTACCTGGACAATTTGCAGTTTGTTTGTTTTTTTTCATTGTCTAATTCAGCTTTCACGGTTCTCTCCTCGTCGTATCTCTCAGCATAGCGATTGTGGTGCTACCGCAGTCTCCACAGTGTTGAGGCATGCATTTAATGCAACATTAGTTGAAGTTGAGCCTCAAGCTCCAGGTGTTATAAATATTGCTTGATTCCCGCCCACTTCTAAGCTGCCCTGTCTGCGCCCTTTTAAAGACACAGGCAATATTGCATGAATTCAGCTTAAGCAGTATTTAATCAGAGCATGATACTTTTAGTGCACAAGCTGGCACACATTTTTCTGACTTTACTCTCTGTATGTGGACATCTTCTGAAACTTAGA